ATTCCAAAAATTATTTTCAAAGCAAAGATCCCATGTATTTTTTTTTTAATAAAAACTTTACCATACCACTTCGAAATTAAGCACCCACCGAAAATAAGCACCACTGGCTTGCACTATTCCAACTTTGGCCTAAGCCATGATTCAGATAGCTTATCTTGGATCTGGATATTAAGTTCTTCTATAGATCCAGCAAGGTTTTCTCTCGAAGTTTCTACCATCTCTTCATTTAGCTTTGTAATATCTCTGCTTTATTATATGCAAAAAAGGGGTGCTTAATTTCGGAGCGGTACGGTATTGATAAAAAAATCTTAACACAAATCACTTTCATTATTATTGTGAACTCTCGATCTCGATATAGTAAACTCAAAAAAAAATCCTTTTGATATAGTGAATTTTAATAATAAAGCTCTTGATTTAGTAAATCTAAAAAAAAAAAAAATTTTTTTATTATCGTAATAGAACAGATTGCTTCGCTAATGATGAGAGACTTTTGTTTCGACCAATCATTTTTAAGCGGAATAGGATAAGAGTTTATACTCCCCGTACATAGGATGAAAGCCTCTACGCCGGTACAGGATAAGGACGCTCTTATTTTTAATATTACTTGACTATTCTATTAAAATTTATATAAACTTTTTATTTTATAATACCATTTAACCTTAACCTACTGTAAATTATATTCAATTACTACTCTTAACTAAAAAAAAATAAAGATTTAAACCAATTAACTAAAAATTTACAAATGATTATCAGTTATAGGGCAATACCTTTTGTACCCCACTTTTGATATTCATACCTCCCATGTACAAAAACTTTATTAATTTAGGCATTGCTATTTATACCTCCCACTTTTACTTTCATATCCCTCTCCTATAAAGTACAACGATTAACATTTAACACATAATGTTCAATTAAAATTTGCCTTAGCTCAAATCAAGTTCACGTATCAATATAATTGGGTGCCACACAACTTTCATACGATAAGTGGCTAAATAATTTTTTTTTTTTATATGGGAGAGGGGGTATGAATAGCAAAAATGGGGTATAAATAGCAATGCCTAAAT